AAGCCAGGAACACTGCCTTCAGGTCTGGAAACTCAGAGGAGCTGAGTAGGACAAGAAAAGAGCTGGTTGCTGGTATTAAGAGGGCCAAGGGCACATATGCAAAGAGGATCGAGGGTCAATTCATCTCACAAGACCCTCGGAGCATGTGGAGGGGCATTAAGTGCATAACAGATTATGGAGGAAGGAGTGAACAATGTCCCAAAGACCCATCTCTGCCTGATGCCCTCAACAAGTTCTATGCACGCTTTGAAGACCCGAACAGACCACCCACCACCAGACTCACCTCACCACCGGATGAAGAGCATCTCAGCGTGACCTCAGCAGAAGTAAGGAGCACCTTCAGGAGGATTAATCCGCACAAAGCAACTGGCCCAGACAACATCCCCGGAGAGGTGTTGGGAGAATGTGCTGATCAGCTCTGTGAGGTGCTGGCAGACATCTTTGGCACCTCGCTTACCCTGGAGACGGTTCCCACCTGCCTGGGGACTGCCGCCATCGTCCCAGTCCCAGGGAGCTCTGCAGTGACTGGTCTGAATGACTTATCGGCCAGTGGCCCTCACCCCGGTGGTCGCTAAATGCTTCGAAAAACTGGTCATGACTCACATCAAAACAACCATCAACATCAACGAGGACCCTCATCAGTATGCATACCGTGAGAACCGATCAACAGAGGATGCAATCTCCTCTGTGGTCCACGCTGCACTCAACCACCTGGAGCAGAAAAACTCTTACGTCCGTATGCTCTTTGTGGACTTCACGTCCGCCTTCGGCACCGTGATCCCCCAGACCCTGATGGACAGGCTATCCACACTGGGACTAAGCCCCTCCATCTGCAACTGGGTACTAGACTTTTTAACAAACAGACCACAGTTAGTGAGGATCCACAGCCTCTCCTCCTCCACCATAACCCTCAGCACTGGCTCTCCTCAGGGATGTGTGTTGAGCCCCCTCCTGTTTACTCTGCTCACATATGATTGTGCAGCTGCCCATCCAGGCTGTCACATTGTAAGGTTTGCAGATGGTGCAGCGGTGGTGGGATGCATCGCGGACAATGGTGGGTCCAGCTGCGGGCAAGAGGTGGAGCACCTGGAGAGCTGGTGCAGAGAGAATAACCTTCACATCAATGTGAAGAAGACAAAGGAGATGATTGTGGACTTCAGAAGGAACAAAAACACCTACACCCCCCTGAACATAAGAGGATCTGCGGTTGAAGTGGTCTCCAGCTACAAGTACTTGGGTGTACACATGAATGACAACCTCAGCTGGAGCAACAACACCACCAGCCTGATCAAGAAAGCTCATCAGAGACTCTACTTCCTCAGACGGCTGAGGCGAGCTGGTCTGGGAAGCTCAGTCCTCACCTCCTTCTGCAGGTGTGCAGTGGAGAGCATCCTGTGCTCGAGCATCAATGTGTGGCATGGAGGCTGCACAGCTGCAGAAAGAAAAGCTTTGCAGAGAGTGGTGAAGGCTGCACAGAA